CTCCCCCGGCCCACTCCTCTGAATTGCTACAGCGAGTTTACTTTCTGGAGCACTGCAAATTCTGTAAATAAGGCTACTTTGAGACAAGTGGACTTATAAAAAAAAAAAATAGAAGAGAGCAATCTTCAAAGGTAAGCCTTAATCAGTATCTCGGGTCTGACTACTTCTATCAGCAGAACTTCTCAAAGACTAAAGCAAAAAACAAGTAGAGGATCTTGCAAGCCTTGTTTGTGGCAACAAGGCACAACGGGTGGTAATTTCAGCCTTTAAAGTCATTCCTCGTTTTTTCCCTGGGATCTTTTACATGTTTTAGATGAAGGAAAACCCTTTTCCTTCTGTGTCTCTTAAAAGCATGTAAAGGGTGGTGAGCCCCATACCCATACTGCTACAGTGAAGCTTTGGTGAAGATGCCAGAGGGATATTATGTAAAATTCTGGTTATACAAGTTGGCGTTTCTGCTTGTTGAACAAAAAAAAAAAAAAAAAAATAAAAAATCCTAAAATCAGCTGCCTGGGCTGACGTAAAAGCCTGAAACCCATCATATAGACGAGGCAAGGGTATCACTGCCTGTCAGAGAGGCAGGGAGTTGTCCTGCTGCTGCCAGTAACTCGGCAGGCAGGAGATCACTCACTTCACGAGAATCCCGCAAGTTGCTTGGTGGGAAAGGAGGCTGGGAGCGGGCGAGTGGGGTCACAAAAGACATGAAAAGCAGAACCCAGCAACTATATCACATCAACAGGAGATGCTCCCTAAATAACTGTCAACAGACAGCTGCTAGGACTACAGGAGGAAAGCTAATTCTGTGATACCAAGCAGGAAGACAGTAACAAATGAAGTCCAAGATAGCTATGGGGAAGCTCATTAACAGACCAGCTTCACTACAACCCAAGAGCGTATTCTTTTGATTTCTAACAGCCAAGGATTTTGCCACCTTTAACAAATTTAACTCCACAAGGTATGAGATTAACAGCAGTATTGTTTTGCAAATGGATGACTGAGGAGTGAAAGGACTAACCTATCATCAGGTCTCAGTGACTACAGGCAGGGACCTGATGCATGACCTCCTCCAGTCCTGGGCTAACCCTGCTTACAGAAAGGCAGCAACTGGTTCCCAGGGATCAGCTCTAGAACACTGAAGTTGAGATCTGCAGCGCTGCTTCTGCTCCCACAGATAAGAACTCCTACCAGACAAGAGAGTAACAGCAGTCAACAAGAACAGAAAGAACAGCTTCTTAATATGAGTTAAGTATACAGAACCACAATACACCTGTACAGAAGAAGATACTCCATAAAAAAAAAAAAACCCACCAAACAAAAAACACTGAAGACATCTTAAGATGAACTCTTCGCAAAGAAGTTAACTCTTTTAAATAAAAATATAAACTCACTTTGTACCTCAGGAACAGATCCTGATCCAACATTGATAGGGACTGGAACTACTCCAACGATGGACTATTTCCAAGGCAGAACAAGAAGTTGAACTGCAGTAGAAGCAAAGAAACTCTTGGGACATCCCTCTATAGCATTACTCCTCAGCCACCAACAGGAGACAGATGGGAAGGTGCTTAATGATAAACCAGCCTGTACATCTGTGAAGCTCTGCAGAAGGGTAACCAAAAGCCCTAAGAAATCTTCCTTTTCTGATTAGATTCAAAGAGGTACTGTTCCAATGCCTTAGACCTACTCCTAGTCCAGCTCTCAACTGGGCTGCACAAAGCAACACAAAATTTGAATTCCAACAGGTCATTTCCTACCCTGCCAAGCTACATTACTAGGCAAAGAAGTGATGCAATAAGTCATTACTCAAGAAAATGAAATTCTATTTATTCATATGGCCTTGAGGATACCACATTATGTAATCTGGAGATTCCTATACAATGTGACATAGATTTGTACGTATTTCTCTTCCTTTCTGTATTGTTTCTAAATGAACACCTTAAACATCTTGAAACCAAATACAAAATCCAAGCTCATTAACACCTTTGGCTTCTTCTTAAACCAGTCATTCCCAACTACCATCCTCAGACATGCCAGTACTATTCTCCTCCTCACATTGCGAGATATGGGAGAAAGAGCAAGTCACACAATGTAATTAAAAACAGAACACTGACAAATTCAAGAGGCTTGGAGTAGGGATTTTTTGATGCTCAGTTCCAAAGCAAAACAAATAAAAAAACCAACAAAATCAGCTCCTACATTTGTTATTATTTGTTTGCGAAGTAATATTCAAAAAGATCTCTTTTAAAGACGGTTGTCTGGCAGATTAACATTTTCAAGGTGTAAAAATCCCCTTTTTGTCTGTCTTACTCTTTAAGGTCACAAAATCCAGACCATCTGGATAATAAAGTTACTAACTTAGTTCCCTATTTATCTAATTAAAACTTCTGTACAGCTCATATGGAAAAATTTGTCTACAGCTAAAAAACAACTGAAGTGTAAAAAGCAGCTGCGGGGAAATGATGTCACTTGCACAGCGTTACGGCAGGCAGAGCTGGCTGCAGCGTATCGGCACCAGGGACATCCTATCCTGATTTATTGTTAATCTCCTCTTTTGAGCCAAACAACCTATTAAAAAAAAAACCCACAAAGAAAAAACCCAAAACTAAAAAAAAAACAACCCACAACTAAAACTACATGGAACTCTCAGCAAAATCCTGCTCTCACTGAAGCATCAGTGGTGGATTTCAGGAAGATCATGACGTCAAGCCTGGTATTTTGTACTATTTTTCTTATACAGAACTGATCCACTTCTATTAGCAAGGGTAAAAGGGTGAATCTTTAGCTCTTTTCACCCACCAAAACCACAAGCCGAACAAGGATGCAAAGCAGTTTCTCTTCTCTCATGCACAGAGAGATACCAAGAGGACTTGGTTTTGCTAATTTTGACTGTTACGTATGTAAACGCGGGCAGTGAGGAGACAGCCATCGTTTTGTTCCAGCAGGTAGCTCACATAAACACAACCATCACCTTCAATGCACAGTTCTGCTGCCAAAAGGCACACGTTGCCAGGTATTACTTTAAATTCACGAGCCAGCTAAGCGTACATTCTCTTCATTTGTTGCTCTACAGGGTCATGCACGCTACCGTTTGGGCCAAAGATGACCAGAGGAGATGCCCTCCCCCTTCCCAGGAGACCCTCCTCCAGGGGAGGAGGGAGCAGGGGACAGGTAATTCTTTTGCAGCCCTGGAGGACGAGGATTCAGGTTCAAGTCTTTTGCGTGAAGTTCCCTAGCAATGCTGCAGCAGGTTTCTGATCCGCAGGCAAATCCTATGAGAAGCCAGCTCCTAGTAACCCCCTTTGTAATAACTGAGCATCACCTCTCAGCTGCAGCATCTTCTGTAGTTTGGTCCTCTGAAATAAAGGGCGGCCTCCCCTCCTCTCTCATGTAAAGAGGCAATTGTAAAATGAATAATACAGACAACTGCCGATGCTTCTTCAAGACATTACACTCCTTCCTTAATGGTAAAATATCATTAGAAAATAAACGCTTTCCTACAAGGTTTCAGAGAGGCTAAAAAAAAAACCAACTAAAATTCACATTGTGACATATTAGGATGAAAGGATATAAAAATCTAACACATGCTTAGTTAACTAAGAGCGTTACAAACAAAAAACCCTATTTCGTAGCACCTACACATCTGCTGGCTCTGAATTATAACTACAGTGTCATAACCTGGAAACCAGTTTAACAATTTGTTATACACAAACACTGTGGGTAATGCACAAACATCAGACAAAAACGCTCTTAAAAAAAACGCTCTTCCCACTCAATTTCGGACTCCTTACTGTATGCACATGCACACACACTCAGAGTATATAATTCAATTTTTAATATACGTATATATGCACATTTCCATTAAAAAGCAATTCAAAGCTCAACTGTTGCCTTTTTGCTCCTAGATCGTAGCCCATACTTGAGCATGACCCCAGTGTCCCAATTAAGTATTAGTTTTGGCACTGTCAACACAATACCATAATGCAGATTCAATACATAAAAGCACCCTACATTTCCTCCATAAACCCATCACACAGACTGCCTCGAAATCCTGAGCCTGCAAGTCTATTTTAAACCTAAATCTTTGAATACGTATCATTGATATCTAACAGCGATGAGCAAACTACGAGTGTATTGTAACCAAGCTCAGTTAACTTGTCTGGTTAGAGTACGCTTACCGACTGAAAGCGGTTACCAAACATGGGACTGTAATAAAAAGACTTAGCAATAACACAAAGCAAATAGAGAACTCTTCAAAACTAATGAAAATTTTATTTTCGTGAAATATGTCAGCAAATTTCTCCAAAATGTTTCGCATTTTTACTCACACATTTCACATTGCTTTACTCTACTTGGATTTCCTTGGTGCGTGAAATTATCTCTTTTCTTGTAGCTGTTCACGTTTCTCCTCCGAGTAATTAGCAAGCTACATCCCCTTTGACAGAGGGATACTAACAAGCTCCTACAGTTTCCAGTAGGACAACGAATCCAAAGCTACTAATAGCAAACAAGTCATTTAAGCAAAAAAGGATTACAGAGGCTTGTTGCAAGAGGCTGGAAACTCACCCGTATTTCAAATTAAGACTTTCTGAGGAGCTCTTTTGTAATGAGTTTTGACTCCATTTTACAAAAATACTTCATTGTTTTCTTTCAAAACCCAAAATATTGATATGAATATATAGTTACTTTCAAAAAGAAGAAATTACAATAAGTACTGGAAAGACGGAGACATGTTTTCCAAAGGGAAAATGATGGAAACATGAGTTTTGTAACAAAACTCCTTAGATCTCCAAGTTTAAAGAAAACAAAAGTTGCACAAACTTTTTAAAAAACGGTTTTCCTTCTTCGCTACCAGGACACCAAAATAAGCTGCAAATCAAGCCAGAGCGCAGCTTATTTGCAGGATTTCATTGCCGAGAATCCCTATAACCACATCCCTGTTAAATAAAGTAGGTTTAGATGAGCGAGAGCTCCTAAACAGAAAGGCAGAGAGACCGACGTACCTTGAGGACCTCCATGGGTACCTGGGTGGCGGGGGGCAGGCTGGTGGGGACGCTGACGTTGATGGCAGGTGTCTGGCTGACGGGTACTCGCTGCTGCATGAACTGGGCTGCTTGCTGCTTCTGCTGCTGTTCCCCAGGCTCCTGCTCCTGCATCTGCTCACGCATGAGCTGCTGGCGTAGCAGGATTCGTGAGGTCATGCTGGAGGAGCTTAAGGGAGGCTTGGAAGCGCCAGGATGCTCGGAATTGCTGCGGGAAGACCAGAGAGAAACAGCTCAGCTTCCACAAGCGGGATGGTGGCTCCAGCGGTCGGAGCTCGCAGAATTACACCGGAACGTGGGGCGGGATGGGTGAGGATATGCCGCACCGTGCGAGGGGGACTTTGGAGCCGACCTACTTCAGGTACTTAACAGCCACATTAGGCTGCCTTAAGTTGACTGCAGCTAACCATTTCCAAATGCCAATAGCCAGCTGGAAAGAGCTATTTGCCGTTTCAATTTTTACAGCAATCATCCACAAGAAAAACAAATGCTTTTATAGATAGCAGCAAGCAAGCACATTCCTTTTAAAAAAAAAAATAATAACAAAGGACTGTATCAAGTCTAATGATAGGTATAGATAATAGTCCAGGTCTAATGATGTAGCTCAAAAATAAATAAATGGGTAAAATACATCTGCCTCTCCCCTGAAAGCACAACATAACAAATTTCAGTTATTTTCTGCAAAACGCTAGCTTGGGGTTGGATTTGCTGGTGTTGAAAGTCTTCATAGCTAGAAATCAGACACACACACCCCCACCCCCAAAAAGACCCCAACTCCCACTTCAGGCCTACCAGCATCTTCCAAGCGCAGTGAGATACAGGAATAAACAACAATAACGGCTTTATTTCAGTAACACTTTATAAAGCGCATCAGGCTGGCCCAGGCCAGCACACTGCACTGCTTCACCACCTAAGAGCTATTTGCGAGCCATTGGCAAGCAGAGCTTCCTACCAGACAGCACAGGAAAAACCGTGGGACTTTGCCATGGACTGTGGGGATGCTTTCTGAAGCCACCCATCATTTTGTTAGCCCTCAAAAGTCAAATCCATTTACAAGACGTTTCTGTAGCATAAGGCAGAGCAATTAGTGTATATAAACACAAAGCTGCAGATCCTTCGAGGGAAAGATGTTGGAAGTGGATAAGAATACACAACTCCATATAACGAAGAGCTACAGTGCATATAATTCAGGATATTTGGGTTGTGATTCTGACTGCTGCAGCTGATTGCCATCAGCCCATGGAAAGCAAGGGCTCGTTAGTCTATAATGATAGAGGTCCATGCCTGGGGAAGCCGGCAGTAACCCTCCCGCTCTAGAAGGAGACTGCTCTTGAGAAGCCCACCTCTGGCTCCGGTGCTACCTGCAGGATGCTGACGGGACACAGGAGTCCAGGAGCCAGCATCCCTCCCAGGTCTGCCCTGGAGGCCGCAGGCACCGAGAGCTACTCGTGCTTGGGCAACCGCAGCCAGCGCCGCTGGAAGTTTTCCGGCTTTGTTTAAGACCAATGTTGAAAACAGTTCAGAGTAGAAATGAAAAAGGAGAACCCACACTTACTCCCCCAAGAGATCAAACTCGGCTTCTCCAGAGCCCACATTTTGGGGGCAGGGAGGGAGGGGACCATCTTGCTATTTAAGACCTGTCAGGTTGAAACATTCACAAAGACACTGATCCTTTTGATAAAACAAGAGAAAACCTTTGTGGTGAAACTAATGCAGCTGTGGAATAATCGCACTAATTAGCTGCTCAAGACAAGTCATCAACTGCGATACTTGTAAAAAACACCACTCTCTCAATTAAGGGTGAAGCATTCTCACATCTAAACTCGGCAGCGTCTTTCCTGGCTGCACATCTGAACCACTTGCCCATTTCCAAACCAAGGAGATGGTTTATTTCCAATTATAGATCAGTGGTCTCCCAAGTTTTTTTTGATCATGCACTGCTACCGAGAGGGGGGTGGGGAAGTTTTGAGCTTGCACCCCCTATATATGTATATTTATTTATTTATGAATTACGTAAATGTATTACTGAAGTGCTAATATGTTCTTTCTGCCCAACAAAAATATTGCACACCCTACTTCGGAGGCCACTGTAAAAGATGAGCAAAAACTTTGGAGACCACTGTAGAAGACGAGCAAAAAAAGGCACTCAAATGCTGCTTTTAAGTAAGGTTTCCTTCTTCTCATGTTGAGGAAAAGTTATTTTGTATCCTGTAAGCAGGATTCTCATCTGTGTGCTATTGGCATTTTTTATAGATACCTAATGCTGCAAAATTGGTAACCCGGCAGTTCCGCACACCTTCTTTCATTTTGAACTGTTTCTCTGCCTACCAAAGCTACGTGTGCTGAAAACCATCTCAAAAGAACCTTCCTATATACTAAAATTTTGGGGAATGTGAGGGAGGAGGAAGCAGAAATGATTTCCATGGCATTTCAAACAGCCCCCTGCCAGGAACATCATCTCACTCACACGATTTCTGTTCCCACTCACACCAACAGCTCCACAGCTGTCCTGCCAGCTTCCTGCAGACCAGTCCGGGCTCTACTTAATGTTCATAGAAAAGTGTCAACAAAACCTTCAAAAATATTGTGTCTTTAAAAGAAACAATAATCCCAGAAAATGCTGTTCAGCCAAAAGTCTTCCCCAAAGGGCAGAGACTCTTCCAGGTTTTATTTCTCTTCCAATTGTGCTCAATATTCTAGTTGTTCACTGGAAAAAATAGCTTAGATGTAATTAGGTAGGTACTGCAAGGTCATGCAATGTACTTTTTAAAGAAGTATCAGAACAAGAGCAGCCACCAACAAGGGGAAGAAGAGTCTGATCTTATGTACATCCCGAACACCAGATTTTGGTGGCCAGACGACAGGGAAGAAAGCTTGAGAGGAGATTATCAAAGGTCCCGTTCATCCTCATTTCAAAGGAGAAGCCAGAAACCAGCTTAGCTGCAACAGAGCCGTGGGCTCAGCACACACATCACTCTCATCATTCTCTTATTTATGCATGTTATGATTTTAGGCAGCAGAGAGGCGCACAAGCCCTGAACGCAGGCAGTGCTGGCAGCAACTGCCGTCGACGCACTGGAGTTCAAATAACTCTTATCTGGGATAAAAGCTGCTGCACAACACCTGCCTGCCTGACCACACGCTCCTGCCACAAGCACTGCGAAGGAAACTGGACAAACGCAAGACAGCTCCTGCCATGCAGGATCCCCGATATTTATTCCCCGGGGGCTATAAAGCTCCTCCCGCGGGCAGGGTGGTCTCACCACACCAGCACTCCTTCCACTGGTCAAATGTGGAAAACTGTTTGAAACTTTGGTATCTCATCCCCTAAGCCTGTTCCGTGCACAGCATGGACCGTCCTCCCGCCCAGCTTCTCTTCCCCACCTCGTCTGCCCCTCTCCTCAACCGCAGGACACTCCACACAAAGCTCCAAGATGGAACAGAAGAGGGTTTGTTTGGGCTTTATCACCACGTACCCTCCGGAGAGCAACCAGGATAAGCTTTGTCAGAAACTCAGTTTTCCAACAAAAAAAGCAATTAAAATCTTGTTGTGTCAAAGGCTTCATCAAGACAGTTTTGAAAATATTTATTTTTAAAGCTTCTTGACGTTTACGTGCTGCTGCACAGGCAGATCTTCTCCCAGTACACGGGAGAAGATTGTACCACGGTACAATCCAGTACCTGGACACGCAGATTCAAAACTCTCATACGTGAACTGATTCACCCCCAGATTATGTGGAGTTGGTAACAGAGCCCACAGATACAACTGATACATGATGGGATTTAGATACTTCCTGCAAACAAGGCTTATGGATACGATTTAATTGCAATAAATGAAACCAACTCATCCTTTTAATTGACATATGATTAAACTGGTTATCCATTAGTAGTCTAATAAGCACAGTGTAATACAGACTGAGTTATTAGTTATGAGTGTCATGTGCCAATTCAATTAATCATGAAGTGATAATGTTTTATTAAATAAGTTTAAATTATATATCCTTTGCATAGATGCCTGGGAAATGTTAGTTACTGCATACGTAAGTTATAATGCAGATGGCTGTTGCATAATAAAAAGCAACTGATCAGATTAAAATCAAGTTTTTGTTGCCATCAACTCAAGCCATTACAGAGACCATACCTTTTAAAGCCTAATCTACCTTCCCAGATGTGTACTGATTATTTTATCTCTGTCTCCTTGGGCAAAAAGGCAAATTCATCTTTTGTTGGTCAATTTTGTTTTCAGATTCTTATATAAATTGATTAAACAAGTTCTCTGGTTCACATGTATTACTTAGATGAGTTGTCTGGTTTACAACCATTCTTTTGCATTAAGAAACTTCTCCGGAAATTTTGAACTGGAAAAAATATTTAATTCAGCTTTGCTTTTTAATTACTGGTTGAGAATTTTATTTCTTTATTTTTAAAGAAAAAAGAGAAGCCTCCAATGTAAGGTTTCTTAGAAAAATTACAATAATTAAAACCACAGACCAACTCCTCAAGCCCAAAGCTTCCTCAAACAGAGATGAACAAGAATCAGATAAAATACATTTTAAAAAAAAGTGCTTTCAAAACCACTTGCTCTGGCAGAATCGATTGCCCTGCTGTAAGGAGAAATGGCACACACGGGAGGCTGTTGCTCTCCATTCACGCCAACTGTTTGTTAATGGGTTAGTCCACAGAGAAATCAGCCAAGAAAAGCATATTTAGCACCTTAAGAAATCCACTGAGCTGCACCAGATCTCGGAGGTCAGAGGTAAGAAATAACACAGGATTTACATGCTTGTATTTCATGTCTTACCCTTATTCCATTCATAATTATTTATAGAGAAAAGAAAGGCATCCACATTTATGTATCTGATATTAGCACAAAACTATCTCGATCTTTAAAGCAAGCAGGTGACAGGTTGTCAACATTACAACACAAACACTTGACCTCCAAAAGGTTCTCCGTTATCAGACGAGACCACCGCACAGCTCCCCTTCCAACACCCATCCTGCTCAATGACCACTAAAGTTTCTTCAAAACTAAGTTTATTTCTCCAGATTCTAGTTTCAGTCTCTCTACCAAGCAGTAAAACCCCAAGAAACTTTTTGTTGCCAGTGTTATATATATGGCTGAAACAACAACACTTCCAGCAGCATCTAACCTGCCGGCCAGAGGGAGCCAGATCACCCCCCAAAAAACCCAAATGCCAAAACAAAAAACCCCACCAACAACAAAAAAGCCCCCTACACAATCTCTTCTCCCCTATCTTCAGATAAAGCAAAGGATTCTAAGTA